CCAGCCCGGTTAGGATACCTGGCTTTCACCCAGGCGACCCGGGTTCAAATCCCGGCAATGGAGGCCAATATTTTTTCTTTTTCTTTTGCGCTATCGAACTGGTAACTCTAAACGTCCATAGTCACCGCATCTTCTTGCTCGCCTAATTATGGACCGTTTTTTTTACCCAATCCAAGGGTGCGTTTGGCTACAAGTGGGTAGCTAATGTTTTGGATGATACTCCTGTATCACCATCAGCAAGAAAAACGAAATAAAAGTTGGCTAGAGCATGCCGAAGTTTTTTTTTAATGAGCATGCCGAAGTTTTGGCGAATATCCATGCATCACTCTCTTTAGACGTGGATACCGAGCCAGAGACATATTTTTAGGTATGGCAAATCGAATGTTTTTCATGTAAATTGTGTTTGTCGAGGATGCAAGTTTAGGTGAGTTTTTTTTTTTTGAGAGAGAATGAGCATGCCGATGTTTTGGCGAATATCCGTGCATTACTCTCTTTGGACGTGGATACCGAGTCAGAGACATATTTTTAGGTATGGCAGATCAAATGTTTTTCATGTAAATTGTGTTTGTCGAGGATGCAAGTTTAGGTGCCCAGCGTGGCAATTCGGCCCCATTTTATTTTTTGCCAGAACAATTGTCGTGCTTACGAACTAAATTTGACATCTTCGGGTCAATATAAATTGTTATAACAATGCTCGATTTGTCATGTCTAATAATCTAATATCAGATTTTTAGCCTTTTCGCTGTCTTTTTGGCGATGGTTGAAAAAAATAGCAGCCCGAAATGTTGGGAACAATTAAGCTAGACTAAGTTCGCTAACACCCGCATCAAGGTGGTGCCCCACTTTCCAGGGGACTTCCTAGCCACATTCTAGCATTTGCATCACTGCGACCTTGTCACCGTGCTCCTCGACGGGTTCTCCAGAGATGGCCTCGACGTCCATGTCGCGAAGTGGAGGCTCAATGCGCATGTTGACACCATCGATGCGTACCACCACATCTAACTTTCTATCAAGAACATTCCATTGAACGCCTGGAACGACACTGTTGTTGACAAGGTGCTTGGCCTCGACACTTTTTCTGCATTACTTTGACATCGCCACCACCAGACGTGAGGGCGCTGCCACTCTCAGCCTTTGGGTGTGGTCATTAAACCCGTATGTCGTCCCAAAGGTTACCTGGCTAACGGTGGGAAACAACCAGCCGATGGGTGCCTTTCATGGCGTGTCGACGATCATGGGGAGGCGGGGGCTCCTACGTTGTGTCGTTTCCTATCTCGACCTCCATGAGGATTTCAACCCCGATGTCGATGGTGTGGCGCCTATCGCTCCTCCCACCTAATTTTACTGGCGGCACGGTGTTGAAAGAACACGTGGTGCCCCCATGTGTGGTTTTGGTAATTGATGATATTCTCTATGGACTAATGGTTGCATTGAGTTATATTTGAAGGTTTTGTCCATAGGCATTTCTTGAAGTCCATGTGTTGGTTTCAAGGAGTTTATGAGTTGACCAAGGTGTTATTAAGGAATTATTCAAAGATTGGTCATGCGAGTGTTGAGCTTATTGCAAACATGTCTTGAAGAAGAAGAGTGTGTGATCATTCATGTTTACCTTCAAGACATCATCCAAATGAAGAGAGTTGGAAAGATTCAAGGTTGATCAAGACTAAGTACAAAGAGTGATTCAAGTTGATCAACACACAAAGTGTAGAATATGTACCGAGAGGGATCAAGTGATCCCATGGTATGATAAGTATTGTCCATTACGGTTTGTGTACTAACCCATGATCTACGTGAGAGTTCTATGTAGGGTTAGGTATGTTTCCATGGGCTTGCATCAAGAGGAAGATATCATACAACCCATGGATAGAATGACATCAATCATCATCAAGATTGCGGCGTGCAAGTTCAAGTGGAGCATCACGAAGAGATCAAGTGCTTGAAGCTTGTCGTCCATTGTGATGACAATGGACTTGTGAAGACGTGTCGAAGAGTGGCTCACCCATAGTGGAGTATGGGGGAGCAATCAACTAGTCTTCATCGATCCAACGCAATCAAGAAAGGTAGTACATCTTGAGGAGGACAAGATCGTCATCATCTAGCTCAAGTGGATCATGCGCAAGGCAAAGGTTTGCCCTTGATAGGTTTTCTATTTTACCGGTCTCATGGTGGTAGTTGGGAGACCGGGTTACATGATCGATTGTCATACTATCAAGGGGGGGGTCTCAAGTTGGTAGCTTGATCGTATCGTTCATAGAGAGCTCAAACCATTGCATCATTGCATCATCTTTCTTGGTTCTTGCTTGGTATTTCTCTTAGTGAGTTTTAGAGCTTATGGTCATTTTCATGACAAGCTCGAGTTCATCGAAAACGGAGTTCACATGCATCTTCTATGATGTTTTTGATGTTGGAGTTTTTGCGGGTTCTCTTTGTGAGTCTTAGAGATTATGGTCATCTTGATGACAAACTCGAGTTCATCAAAAACGGAGTTCACATGCATCTTCTATGATGTTTTCGATGCTGGAGGTTATGTCGGTTCTTTTCTGTTGGAGGATTCACTCCTCTATATGTTAGGCATACCTCCCCTGCCTCTTCTTCGTTGTTTGGTGCTACTCATCATCCTCTATCCAACAAGCTTGAGTTTGCTCAATTCGGAGCTCGTTTGCAGAAGTTGTGATAGTTATGGTTTTCCTTGGAGTATACTTGTTTTCGTGGAAGTGGCATAAGGGGGACGCCAACGGTAGTACCGCGGCTCCGGAGCGGCAGTACCGCCGAAAGCCATGTTTCATAGCAGTAGTACTTCCCATGGCCACAGGCGGTAGTACGGCTCCGGTTCCGCGCGCTAGTACCGCCTCGACTCGAGACCTGCGTGTCTCGTGTCGGGTTCAGCGGGAGTAGGAGCGGTGGTACCGCCCTACTACCGCTACTAGTGCCGCTCAACGGCCCTCCTCTCTGTTCCTTCTCCCTTAGACGTTGTGCGAGGACCCAGCGGTAGTACCGCTGGGCCGAGCGGCAGTACCGCTCCCTTAAGTAGTAGTACCGCCCGCTGCAGGCTGTGAATGGGGATAACAGTTGGATTTTCCCCCTCCTATAAAAGGGGGTCTTCTTTCCCATTGCCTTATCTCTTTAGCTCGTGTTCTTACACCATTGTTGACCTTCTTCGAGCTTGCTATCTCTCAATCCCTCCATGGATTCTTGCTAGTTTTTTTGGGGGGTGGGGGAGAGAAAGGAGATCTAGATCCACACTTCCACCAATCACTTTCTCTATGTGAGGGGAACTCCTTGGATCTAGATCTTGGAGTTCTTGGTGTGTCTCCTTCTTGTTCTTCCTCTCTTTTTCCTCCATAGCTTTTGTTGCTTTTGGTGGGATTTGAGAGTGAGGGACTTGGACACTCCGTGTGCCCTTGCCATTGTATTTGGTGCATCGGTTTGAGTTCTCCATGGTGATATGTGGAAGTTACAAGTTGAAAAGCTTATTACTCTTGGGTGCTTGGTACCCTTAGCTTGTTCCTCTTGGGTGCTTGGGCGCCCTAGACGGTTGGTGGTGTTCGGAGCTCAATCATTGTGGTGTAAAGCTCCGGGTAAGTGTCGGGGTCGCCAATTAGGTTGTGGAGATTGCCCCGAGCAATTTGATGGGTACCGGTGATCGCCCCAAGGTTTGCCAGAGTGTACGGGTTCGGTGACCGCCTCCAAGGGTTGCCATTTGCATAGGTTCGGTGACCGCCCTCAAGGGTCCCTTAGTGGAATCACGACATCTCGCATTGTGCGAGGGCGTGAGGAGATTACGGTGGCCCTAGTGGCTTCTTAGGGAGCATTGTGCCTCCACACCGCTCCAAACGGAGGTAGCATCCGCAGGGGTGTGAACTTCGGGATATATCATTGTCTCCGCGTGCCTCGGTTATCTCTTACCCGAGCTCTTTACTTATGCACTTTACTTTATGATAGCCATAGTGTTTCATGTTATATATCTTGCCACCACTTAGTTATTTATCTTGCTTAGCATAAGTTTTTGGTGCACATAGGTGAGCCTAGTTATTTTAGGTTTTGTGCTTGACAAATTAACCGCTAGGTTTATTCTGCATTTGTTCAAGCCTAAACCATAATTATTTTAAAGTGCCCATTCACCCCCCTCGAGGCGACATCCACGATCTTTCAACCTCCATGAGGATTTCAACCCCGATGCCAATGGCGTGGCGCCTAATTGCCCTCGCTTCTCCCACCAGATTTTACTGGCGGCACGGTGTGGTCGATGGAGAGGCACGAATGCACGATCACAACAAGCCGCCGGGATATCGCCGTGATGATAGAGACAAGCTTAAAGATGATCAAGAAAGCAGCGGGCATCACGATGAATGGCAACCATCCTGGCGCGACTGTATCTTCAGAAGCAGATCAAGGGAAACAGAAAGGCTCCAGGGCGTTGGTCCTTTGGGGCACAGGCACGAAGACCTCCCGGCTCGCATCGACAAGATCAAGCCGGATCCGATAGGAAAGCGACGACAGCGTCGCGTCGGCGACTCATTTTTTAGTCAGTAATAGGTGTTCGATGGTCTCAGAATCTTAATGTAATTTTAATTAATATTTGAGTTGTTTTGTACTTCCGATGAACTTCTAATAATAGATCTGATCTTTTCCGAAAAAGCTAAAACATGTGCGAGACCTGAACCGGTTTTCAAATCACGACGCAACTGGGCAGCTCCATATCTGTGCCCCCCACAACTGCGTGCTACAAATCCTCTCCCACAAAAATTCTTGACTTGAGTCAGCTTCGGTTTAAACGAAATCTGCAATTCAGGTTCAATTCAAAAAACAAAAAGAAAAACTGCAATTCAGGTTAATCTCGAGCGTTGATTGCCCATGTACATCCGGAGATGTGCGGTTGGAAGCAGGCTGGATGAACTCAAACTGACGACCTTCGCACTCGGCACTCGCAGAGCGAAAGCTTATCCCCCTCCGGCCGTGGCCTATCCACCCCGCGCGCACGCACACCCAGCAGGCAAACCATGGCGCTCTCCGTCTCCTCCCTCGCCTCGGCCTTCTCCCACCTCTCCCTCCCCTCCACCTCCGCTCCCCACCCGCTCCCTCTCCTCCGCCTCCACCCCACCACCCGCCGCGCCGCTCGCCTCGTCCTCTTCGCCTCCGGGGCCGACGCCGCCGAGCCGGTCCTCGAGGCGGAGGCGCCTGCCGCCGACGACGGGCCCGAGGAGGTGCTCGCGGTCGAGGCGGAGGAGGACGCGCTCTCCGGGCTGGCGCTGCGCAAGTACGTGAAGCAGCGGCTGCCCGGGGGATTCGCCGCGCAGCGGATCACCGCCACGGGCCGCCGGAAGATGGCGTCCGCCCGCGTCGTCCTCCAGGAGGGCACCGGGAAGGTCTTCATCAACTTCCGCGACGCCAAGGTGGTTGTCTCCTTCCTCTATTCGATGAATGCACCTCCTGGTTTCACAAACTGCCGCAACATTATGTGACTCTGAATGTGGCATGGCTCTAGAATTAGCTATCCGTCGAATGCTTGGTTGTCCCCTATGCTTGGTTGTTAGGATACCTGCTCATTGCTAATGTAGTAATCGATCCCAGTCATGTCTATGTTTACAAGTAGTTGAGTACTGGAACATGGGTTGCATTTCATGTTACAGGCTCTGAGATTCTAGTTTGTCAGCTGCTAATTGGTCTGCATAAATTCATTTAGATAAACAACAATGCAGACTTGTCGCAGATTTTAACCTGTTAGGTTAATCAGTCCCTCCTTGTGTTTTTCGTTTGCGGTAATGCACGGCCTAAAATACTATTTGGTCAAAATTGGTGCGGGGATGTTCGGTGGTAAAACACCTCAAAGGGGAAACTTATTTTCAGATGTCATATCAAGCGGAAGATGTGACCGGAGCACTTGACTCTGTGAATAGATTAGCAGAATGAGGGTTGCAAGCTTAACTAGTGAAAGGAGGATTCTGCATTTCACACGGTTAGGATGTTTAATAGCATGTTACTTCTATCCTGTTCATAGTGCTGGATACTGACTTCACTGGCTCTATTTGCTTCACATTGTTGCCATCACCAAGAATGCAGTTTGGTAACTGATGTTGAATGTGGTTTCCAAATGCCTAAGATTTAGATTCTATATAGTGAGCATACTTGAAATGATGTAACGTCTTTGTTCATTTGCTCAAGGACCATGATACGGACACAAGTTCAGTCATCAAATTTCATGGGGAAAAATATTCTTCTCTTTGACGTACGTTGCGCGCAGCTATTTGGATGAATGACCAACTATGATGCTGCTAACTTCATTAAGGTTAAACTGTAGCAAAAAAGATAGTTTCAGCTGCATATATACTAAATGAGTAAATTATGGTGCTAACGTCATTAAGGCACAGCTTTTCTTTTTCTGTACCTGAGGGAATACATGGAAATAACAAAAAATTGATAAATATTCAGTCGCTTGCCTGTACTTATATACTTGAAATATGCAGGAGTATTTGCAAGCGAATCCGATGTGGGTGGAGTATTGCAAGATCCCCCTGGTGACTCTAGGGTTTGAGAACAACTACGACGTCTTTGTGAAAGTTCAGGGAGGCGGCCTCTCAGGCCAGGCCCAGGCGATCTGCCTCGGCGTGGCGCGTGCCCTGCTGAAGATCAGCCCTGCCAACAGAGTCCCTCTGAGGTCAGAAGGCTTGCTGACGAGAGACACTCGCGTCGTCGAAAGGAAGAAGGCGGGTCTCAGGAAGGCGCGCAAGCGTCCCCAGTTCTCCAAGCGTTAAGCAGGATACTTCATTGTTGTTAGAGTCGTTTCTGCGCCATCTTTCCCCACTTGAAAAAAGTCCCTCTCGTGTCTTTGTTCTGTGCTGGACGCCACAGATTTGTAACATTCGTTTTCTGAAAGCATTTTTCTTGAGGTTACAGAAGACAGGTTTCTTCAAATCGTTCCACTGAGTCTGACGTGGTTGCTCAAACTCGAAGCGTGGCTTTCTCATTGAGTGAGCGTTTATATGAAGTCATTTGAAAAGCTATCAACATCCGCGGCAGTTTTCAGAGTGATATTTGTTTGTCTGATAGAGATTCGAAATGCGAACAAGTATGTCGCCTCTCGGTATCTGGTTGGACCGCAAAACTTCAAATTTTATAATCAAATTTTCTCCCACTTAATTGAATTGTGCTTTTCATCTAAAAAAAGAAAAAAAATGTTAACTGATGTGGCAATTCTGTTTTTTTTTTTTGAGGCAGTGTGGCAATTCTGCTGGAGCGGGACAGACTGCAGAGAGGAACAAAGAGAGTGCAAAAGGTAGCAAAGCGACCAGTCCACACGCCGACCGAGCCGAACCAGGCCCATCACGATTTCCACCACGCGCGGCCTAACGGAGCCCACCACGGAAGCCGAACCCTCTCCTCTTCGCCGTCCCCAGCTCCGTCGGTCCACCCATGTCGTCCTCCTCGTCGCTGATCCAAGGCATCTCCATCTCGGTCTCCGACGACGACGAGGCCTCCGGGAAGGTGCGCGTCCGCGTGCGCCGCAAGCGCAACCGCCACCCGGTCTCCGCCCGCCGCCGCTTCCTCCGCCGCGCCGCTCGGCTGGGCGGCCCGCTCCTCCTCGCCGCCCTCGCCGTCTCCCTCTTCGCCTATGAGTACTACCGCCTCTCCCCGTTCCACTCATCCTCCTCGTCCGCTCCGCCGCCTCCGCCTCCGACGCAGGCCGCCGGCAACCTCAGCCGCGTCGACCGCGCCGACCGCGCCCGGAAGTGTAAGCTCGCGCCTGATAGCTAAACCCTAAATTGGCGTGGATAGAACTGCGTCTTAGTTTAATCCTGTTATTCTTTATTTTAATTTGGCGATCTGGAGGTCTGCCTATATTATAATGCCCTGTTCAGTTAGTCTGTATTGTGGTGATGGAGGTGATACCACAGTATGATGAGCTGACCCAGCGACCTGCTTAGCTGTGCTGTAGTTTTATATCCCTATTATTGAGCTATCTATTTATTTTCTGATCTGAATGATGCAATCTGATCTGTTGATCGTAGTTTCCCCTGCTTACTGCCTACTTCCAGTGCTAGTTAGAGGATTTATTTTAGGGGCTTGTGTGGGCGTTAAATAATGCAAGTTGCCCTAAAGCGTTTGTCTGAATGTTAAGGTTATTCAAACTCAAAGTGAGGTACCGATTTATATTTCAGCCTTAATACAACTGTACAGCGGGTTATGTGGCTTATTCTGATGCACTAACTTACTCTTGTGGAAGTTATTCATGTACTGAGTAATAGGAAAGGTTGGCTACTAACTCTCTTTTGTTTAGCACATGTAAGGTTCTAGCCCATCTTTGATATTGATTCTTTTGATTTCTTCTGGTATACTATGCTATTTTATTTCTTTTTCTACCTTTTTGCCTTCTGGAGTAACAGTGTGATTATTTCTTAGATCAAATATCAGTGTAAACCATTATGACATGTGCTTCCTCATGAATTCAGTGTTATATTGACAGCATGCCTGAAGATGCTCGATACTGAGATGCTTCAAAATCTGGAACTTCGTGAACCCCCTGAACAAAATCTGCCAGTCAAGGAAGTTGTGTACAGGTCCAGTCTGCCCCATCTTGAAGATAACGTTTCATCCCGTATGACGAATTCGCGATTTAATTCATTCACGGGATATCAGACCCTTACTGAAAGAGAAGAGAGTTTCAAGGTTTTGTTCAGGCTCTATATTTCATGAAGTTTTTGAAAATTATGTAAGATATTGGAGTTGCTCTATGAAATATGTGTGTTCTTGTTTAGTACCATATGTGCAGATAGTAGATACTACATGATAAACATTGTCAAAAAAGCAAAATGCTAAACTGTGGAAAATTATGTGTTAGCTGCCATCCTCACTTTTTTTCAATTCTACTAATGCTTCAGCCAAAGGAAACTACAGTGGTTCATTGTGGCTTCTACAGTGAAAATGGAGGGTTCAGAGTTTCTGATGTAGATAAAGATTACATGAGATCTTGCAGAGTTGTTGTGGCCACTTGTGCGTTTGGTGGAGGGGATGACCTTCACCAGCCTATAGGGATGACAGAAGTGTCTGTCAAAAAGGTTTAGTACTTCTCTTGCATTGGGTGTTGATGTCTTGAGCTTCTTTCCTGCCTATCCGCTGATACTTGTTGTTTTGCTAGGTATGCTATGTTGCATTCTGGGATGAAGTCACTCTCTCAGCTCAACATGAGGAAGGTAAGAAGATTGGTGAAGATCTCAGGATTGGCCTTTGGAGGATCATTCTTGTGAGAGACCTTCCTTTCACAGATCAACGGCTGAATGGCAAAATTCCCAAGGTACCATCTGAAAACCCTGTGCCTTCATTGTCATGATGAGAGAAAAAATGTTAGTAGAAGCCTCAACATTATGCTTCCTATATTCATCTTGTTGTACTCTATGGACAACAGAGCTAGGAGGAGATTGTCTTACAGATATTGCATTCTATTTTTTCAAGAACAGATATTACATTCTATTTTTTCAAGAACAGATATTACATACTCGCTCTGTAAACTAATATAAGATCGTTTTTACAGAGGGAGTACATTCTATGATCAGTGCATATGATGTCTGTGTAGGGTGAATCCTTTCCATCAGAAGCTGACTTCCATTTTGCTATTCTATTGTCTCCAGCTGATAAGCCATCGCCTTTTCCCTATGGCAAGATACTCGATTTGGGTGGATTCGAAGTCCCAGTTCCGGAGAGATCCACTAGGAGTCATTGAGGCCCTTCTGTGGCGCTCAAACTCTTCCTTGGCATTATCGGAACATGGAGCTCGGAGCAGCTTGTATGACGAGGGTAACGCGATTGTTAAGAAACACAAAGCAACCCCAGAAGAAGTTAAAATACAGTTGGATCAGTACCGGCAAGATGGCATTCCGGATGACAAACGATTCAACGGAAAGAAAGGTTGGCTACTAATCCTGACTTGCTTGCCCTCATTTGCTTTCACCGTTCTTATCATACCTGGCATAGCTTGATGCATTAACTAACTTCATTGGTGATGCTGTTATGTTGTTCCCAACTTACCAGTGTCCTAGTTTTGTTTCTCTAGATTGCACATCAACATCACTCCTACCTGGCTCTCACGTTATGCCGCCCTGCATAGTGTGCAACATAGATGGCTGGCCATTCATTCACCTCATAGGAAAAGTCAGCAGGATGGGCTTAAACGAGAGCAGACATCAGTGTCGTACGTATTCACAGAACAGGCCCAGGGCATCAGGCTGCTGGGCCAGACACGTAGTGAAATAAGTGAAAATACATCATGTGCTCCTACTCTAATGAAACCATGCTTGGTGTTACTACTACTGCGCAGCTGCGCTTGTGCAAAAGGCATGAGCTATAAAGTTGGGCCAGTTGCATGCGTTGAGCATAAAAGCTATGGCTCCTTTCTGGCTTTCTGCACCTCAACCAAGTGATACAGGACACGCCATTTTTAGCCCACATGTGGGCTAGCTACGTAGAAGAACCAGAAGCACGCTCCAAGCAGTAGTAAACACAATGTTTCGCCCAAAATCATACATGTTCGTCGTTCTTGACACCTTTGCTGCCAGTGGTCCGGCCCTCTGAACCCGGACAATAAGTGTGGTTCTCATTCATTGATTTGCCTTTTTATTCACAGCTCTTGCAGAAGCTTCAGCCATTGTGAGGGATCACGCCCCCTCGACGAACCTCTTCATGTGCCTCTGGTTCAACGAGGTGGTGAGGTTCACCTCCCGGGATCAGCTGAGCTTCCCCTACGTGCTGCGACGCCTCAGGCTCCCCGGCGTCCACCTGTTCCCGGTGTGCGCCCGCAAGGATCTCGTCAACAGCTTCGGCCACAGGCGCAAGGTGAAGCCTCTCGCCAAGGAGGGCAGATGAGCTTCTGAATCTAGCGCCCTGGGCGTTGTCCTGACTGGAATTTCGACAATGCGTGGCCTCGATACACTCCACCTGCGCAAGCTGTATAGTTACTCTAGTAGTTCTTTTCTTCGTCATCTTGATTTGAGGTGTAGACTATCTTGGGGTAGCGAGAGGAGCAGTCATTCAAAGTTCTCAGCTGGTACTGGTAGTAGCGCAATGCAGGGGTACACAGGAGAATGGCTTTGCCTGATGTTGTTCAAGGCAAATGTAGATCGCCAATTCGCCATTCTTCTCGGCAGAAACGAAATCAAAGAATTTCGGCTAACCCCAAGTCAATGCCTTAATTTTGGCATTTGTATCCTTTCTAGCCCTGTCTGTTTTCTTCTTGATCCTTACCATGAACTAGCTAATTCTCATGAAATTCATGTGCAGCTTTCAGTCTGGCCCTCCGGCATCATCAATAGTCTTTATAGTTGTTTTTCTTCTCGATTTTCCCTGTAGATGATGCTGGCGTAGCAACAGCAGCCATTCAGGGTCCATAGCCAGTAGCAGTGCAGCGGTACACAGAGAAGCGAAATGTCTAGGAGCAATGTTGTTCAGGGAATGGTGGCTTGAAGAATCGTCGTTTGAAGCCAAGGTCATTAAATCTGGCGGGTGCATCATCTTTTCTTTCTTGAACTCGTAGTGGAGACTAAACTGCTTCTCGTGAACTCGAGTGAAATTTCTCATAAACGGCCAAACCCCACGGTACCATCCGTCGGGAGCAATTATTCGGCGTACCTACCTACTGAGGCACGCACGCACCTCTGAACCTCCCTGCCCAACATACGCCGCGAAAGTGCGGCTGCCAGTCGCTGTGCGCGCCAGTGCATCCTCTTCTTTCGTCCGTCGGGTAGGCCCATTGCCCGAGACGTCG